TTGAAGAAGAAGAGGCTCGGGACACCGTCAAAATCGACCTGTTTGGGGCCGAGGCGCGCCTTGAGCGACGAGAACATGGCGAGGCGAAAGGAAAAGGAAAACGTACGGGCGCGGAACGTCCGATGGTGTTGCCCATCAAGGTCTTGCCAGGTCGGGTGGTGTCAGGTCAGAGCTGAAATGGAGAAGACTGATGAGAGCCGGTCCTGCGCGCGCGCACGGTGATGAGATGAGGGCGGATGAAGGACAACAACGCCGCGCTATATTGAACCCCGCATCGCATCAGACCTAAGGCACACGGGGCTAATCATCAATCATACGAATGAAGATTAAGGATCTCGATCGTCAAATTCCAATAATCCCGTTGCGCCGTTCGGGACGATTTGCAGCGACGCTCGGCCGTTGGAAAGCGCGACGCGGAGAACGGACAGGAGCTCCAGCGTTGTCAGCCCCGGATTCGCGATAGAAAACAAGCTGCGGCTTCGGATAGGGGGTCCGGGAAACTGTATGCAAGAAGTTGGTGCAATACAGCCAAGCAGTGGCCAGCGCCAGGCGGAAATGTCGATTGAATCGCTCGCGGCGCGCCCAGAGTCAAACTGAAACATAGCGTCTAACGACGAAAGGTCCAACATCCTATCCTAGCATCTGGAACTGTAGAGTTTCAGGCATTCGTCAAGTCCACCTGGCTCAAAGCGTGTAGACTGTAGTTCCGAGTCTCGGTTGTGAGATCTGTCGTGATGAAGTTCAATGGTGCAGAAGCCAAGCCCTGGTCGACGTCGCGAAGGCAGGCATCACGTCAGAACGTAAATCGTTGCCTGCGCTACGAGAAACCAGGGTCATGTGTGACTTTGGGACTCGAAGAAATCGAAGATGGCGGGCAGATGGAGGAGGTGCGGATGTTTTGTCGGTGCGAACCGCGAGACTTGGCTTCAACCTGCTCGACGACCAGGTTAAACTTGACGGCCGGACTGGACTGCTCGCTGTACCGACATTGATCGTAACTTGGCCTTTGGCAGGTGTACTTACGTCGCGCCGCGGCATCTTCGGTTTTTTGGACTTGTGCGGAAATCGAGCATTACAGAGCTCACTTGATACTCTACGGCACTCACCAGTACTCTGCCGTTGGACTAGACCTCTCAACGACTCTCTACTGTGCAGTCTCTCGGGACCGCGTCCCGCTCTATGTTCCCTCGATGCGCCTTGACATCGCCACGACTCTTTCACGTACAGACCCGGCACTCCGTCGCGCATCCGCCATCTCCAGCTCCATGTCGACCTTACGCAAGGTTTACGCACTGCTCTGGTAAACGTTCAGGTAATGCGACTGCGCCATCCGATGCCAACGGTCAGCAATTGTCAGCGCCTCCCCAAAACTGCGTGCTCGTCGGATTTATGCGACGAGCACCCCTCTCCTCCCTTGCCTGCCGTACTTCCAGTCTTAGGTGCACCACTTCTCAGCGGTCTACCTGAATCTCCTTCTGCGCCAGTTCGTAATCAGGGCAGACGGGCAGTCGGTGCCGACGTCGAGGGTGGCAGATCCGCCAAGGCGCGGACCGCCTCCTGTCGGATTTGCGCGTCTTTATGTCAGCGCTGACGATCCAGCCTGTCCCTATCCCGACCTGGCAGTGACATCCTCCGAATCCGGAACCCGTTATCGGATGCGCCTTATAAGCGCATTGCAACCTCGAGGCTTCCTTGCATCACCCGCACCCTTCGAATCACTACCACCACATCCACCACCACCACAGTCCAAGAGCAACGATGAGCAAGGATACGACTGTCATTCGCGAGGTCGCGCCTGGCGTGACCATCTTCTCCGTGTATGCATCTTCATTCCTATAGTCCGAAAATAGGTCTGACGAAGCACGAAGACCGTTCAAGCGCGGTTTCCTCCCGCTCGGTGGACGCTCGACAGCCGTGAAACTCTCGGACGGCGGCGTCTGGCTTCTCGCATCGCACGCCCTCGATGCGTCTACACGTGCGGCTCTGGACGCGCTCGGCCCTGTGCAGTACGTGCCTCGCATCCACATGTAGAACTTGTCGGGCTCACGCCGTACGCGCACTGATTATAGCTACGTCGTATCCTGCGACAACGCGCACAGCTTGTTCTTGAGTCAATACAAGGATGCGTATCCTGAGGCCAAGCTCATTGGCGTTTCCGGACACGAAGAAAAGCTCAAGAGCCTGAAGTTCGATGGAGGTGCGTCTCGATTTCCTCCCTCGCTCAGATGAGTCGCTGAAGTATTATCGTAGTGTACGGAAAGGATGCAGAGGGTACGACGTACGGCTACGAAGACGAGGTGAGCCAGCACATCCAACTTGGTTCGCTTTCTCACAGCGTCGCAGATCCACGTAGTGTACGCACCATGATCACGCCACCTCCTTCTCTTCTCTGACACGCGCACGACGTGGCATGCAGGTACTTCCCGGGACATGCACAGAAGGACGTCGCCTTCTTCCACGTTGCAAGCAAGACGCTCATAGAGGCCGATCTCCTGTTCAACCTCCCGGCCCGCGAATCCGTAAGCTCTTCTTCACCTCGCCTCACAGTTCTGAACCGTTTCCATACATAGTTCTCCAAGACCGGCTCCAGCGGTTCAATCCCGCTGTTGACTGCGAGCATCGCGCCGGGAGGATTCATGCATAAAACGGTCCTCGGCGGGTTCATCAAGGACAAGGCGTACGTTCCTGCTCTCGAAGTGAATGGAGTCGCTGATTGGTGCGGAATCATAGATCGTACAGGACGTCGTACGACAAAGTCCTCGCATTAGACTTCGCGCGCATCGTCCCATGCCACGGTGTACGTCTTCCGGCTGTTATTGCTCTGGTACCTCGCTGATGCCCTCGGTCCTCCAGGATGTCATCGAGAAGGACGCGAAGGCGAAGTGGCAGGAGGCGTACAAGCCTCTCCTCGGCTAAACCATCCGCATGTCGACACGTTTATTGTGGTTTTATCTCATGGGAGTTCGTTGTCTTGATTCTACACTACACTACTCTACATCCAGGGCTCTTACTTGATACATAGACACCTGTTTCACGGCCAAAGTACAGGTTGAGGACCCGCGATCATTCGTGCATCGTGCGCGTATTGGGAGAAGTGGTAATCAGAGATGGTCTTGAGCAGGTTCTCGCGCAGTCCGAACTGGACGAAACGCTGGCCGGTGCGTAACTCGTACTCGCGTCGTAGCTCGCCGAAGAACCTCGCTACGTGCTCTTCGTGCATTGACATAAGCCGTTCAAACGTTCGAGCTTCTTCTCGTCTTCGATCCTCTTGACAAAGTGTCAGGGCGAGTATCAGTAGAAGTGCCGGGTTGCGTACCTTGAGACAACCCATGGTCGATAGTCCGCATCGCAAACTCGCGTTCTACCTCTGCAACCCTCATGGCATGTTCCCATTCTGCCATGGCATGCAGCTCGCACGCCCACTCGGGAAAATGGGAAATAGTCATAGGAGCGTTCAGCAGTTTATACGGATGCGAGTTCCGATCACGATGTGAAAGCAGTTCGCCATTGTACGGAGGACGCGAAGTGGCAAGAGCGACCGGAAGGTGCGGCTGAGGAGGAGCCCATGGCACAGCAGCGTGCGGCTGTGCACCTCCGAAGTGAACGTGCAGCGGGGGCTTCGGAGGGGCAGGAGGAATGGGTACGTGAGAAGTGTACTGGGCGCGCGGATCTTTGGGCCAAGCTTCGAAGTGGGGATGGGGCATCGGGCGCGGTGTCGGATTCGGCGGCGGGTTCGGAAGAGGAAATCGCGCGAGTTCCTGCCTCGGGAGATGAGGTGTCGGCACGAGGTTGGGTAACCCGCCACGAGGCAGTGCCGGTGGAGGATACGGCTGAACGGGCACCAGCGGCGGAGGTTCGGTGGGATAGCCTCCCGATCCAGGACCAGCGTACGAAGGTACAACCGGGAGTGGTCCGGAAAGGTATCCCCCAGATTGTGGGGTTGGAAGAGCCATGTACTGAGGATTGTAGACAGAAGTGGCGATCATGCCAGTGGGCGTCGGTCCGGGTCCCGCCCCAGCACGCAAGGGAGGAATCACCCCATAGCGCAACGCTGGCGGCAATGGAGGCTCTGGCTTTGGGATGTGGCGCTCCTCGTACGCCCGAACCGCTTTCGCTGAACCAGCAAGCATATCAAGTTTCCGATCATACTTGGCGCGCAGCGCAGCTTCGGCCTGCAGCACCTCCTCTACGCAATGAGCGATCAGTCCCTGAGACATAGCAGACGGCAGTGAACGCACCTTCATTGGTCAAAGTCGCAATCTTACCCAGCTTCGTCGTATACTCGTCGACGAGCTTTGACTGCTTCTGCTTGATTTCATCAAGCTGCCTCTTCGCCCAATCGCTGTAGGATTCCGAAGCGTCCATCGTACCACAGTGGTAGAGAAGAGAGAGGCTGTTGCATTCCCGCTCAGCTTGCACGGACGAAAGTACAACCAACAACAGGAACCGCCCAGAACCGGGAAAGGTCAGGGAGCCTGTGCTGCAAAAGCGCGCGCGCCGGATGGCGAACATGCGTGACGCCATTGCAGCAGACGCCGGGAGTTTGGCGTGGGAGGACGTACTGGAAGAGGTATAGGCCTCAGCGTTTCAGCGCATCCGGTTGGTTCTGGCGGGTGCAATATGCTCAACAGTTGAGGTGCTAGCTCTACATGTGCACCAGACCAGTGCGAGTCAGGAGCTGACGTGTTATATGTACATACAAGTCAAGGCGAGACACAGAGTGTCGGCTCCGAGGAGAGTGCAAGCGTGCGGAAGCCGAACCCCTCGAGGGCAGTGAATCGTCGTGCGTTCGTCGACGGACGAGAAGAATGAGATACTCCTTAAGATCAAATTGTCATGAAGACTCAGAAGAGTCAACATGTTTTACATGTACGTGAGGGCGACACGTACAGTGTGGACACAGGGTTATGGGGGAGAGGGCAGACAAGAGTTTTCGCCAGAGCGCAAGACGAATACATTGCAGGGAATACCTTAGGAGAGACAAAAGGATAGGAGTTTGCTGACCACCGCAGGGGTCGAACCTGCAATCTCCTGATAGCGGATCTCTGAGATCGTAGTCAGACGCGATGCCATTTCGCCAGGCGGCCATGACGTAATGACTGAGATGTGCATTCATAATGTGTTGAACATCTCGGTCGAAGTCTTACTACCTATTGTACAGATCAGGAAATATCACGAGGTGGTTACCGGGAAAATTGACTATCATAGGGACACAGATTTTGGTGCAGGTCGAAAAAAAAAACTGGTTCGCTGATTCCGGGTCCATGAGCCGTGATCCGTGACTTGCCTTTGAACCATCATCATCCAAGCGCTCAGTTCTCACCCAATCCATCATGGCCGAGTCTGGGCGCGTACTGTTGCATTGTCATAAATTACCTCGACGCCTGTCAAGCGTGTCCCTCTGTGCGGCCCAGAGTGGCCAAGTGCCGAGTCTAGCCCTCGCGCACGTGGCGGTGGACCTATAAACTCGGCACCGCCCGCAGCCAACCACCGCCATCGATCCTCCTCAGCTACCAGAATATTCACCCCTACACCTATACGCGATGAAACTCGCTTTCTTTAGTGCAAAGAAGGTCAGTCTCGCGTATATATCGATTCCACGCGGCTAACTCCATGCAGTACGACATAGACTCGTTCACAGCTGCGCAGGACTCGGATCCTGCATTCAAGGCTGTCGAAATCTCGTATCTTGAACCTGGCCTCGATGAGCGAACTGCTATCCTAGCAGACGGCGCGGATGCGGTCTGCGCATTCGTGAATGACCGTCTCGACGCACCGACTCTGACCGAGCTCAAACGCCTGAACATATCCTTTGTCGCTCTCCGCGTGAGTTCTTGTCTTTACGGGGTCTGCCGCTGCTTCTGACATGCCCTATTCTTAGTGTGCCGGGTTCAACAATGTCGACCTATCCACGGCGAAGGAGCTCGGCATCCATGTGGTTCGCGTGCCCGCTTACTCGCCCGAGGCGGTTGCAGAGTTCGCTGTCGGCCTCATGCTCACCGTCATCCGCAAATAGTGAGTCCATTGCAGGATGCACGACTCTAATCTGACATCGCAAAGTCACAAGGCGTACTTCCGCGTACGCGACGGCAACTTCACCCTGTCCGGTCTCGAGGGATTCAACCTCCAGAACCGCACCGTCGGCCTGGTCGGCACGGGAAAGATCGGCGTCTGCGTCGGGCGCATACTCTCGCTCGGCTTCCAGGCGCGCGTAATCGCGTTCGACCCGTACCCGGACCCGAGCGCGGCCCAGTACGGAATCACCTACGTCCCCACGCTCGACGAGCTCCTCTCCCAATCCGACATCATCTCGCTGCACTGCCCACTCATGCCCTCCACGCGCCGCATTATCGATGAGCGCGCGCTGAGGGTGATGAAGCCCGGCGCGGTGCTCATCAACACGAGTCGCGGACCGCTCATCGACACGAAAGCGCTCGTCAAAGTCCTCAAGGACAATCATCTCCGTGCAGTCGCGCTCGATGTGTACGACGGCGAGGAGGGCTACTTCTTCCGCGATGCGAGCGACAGTGTCATACAAGACGACCTGCTCAGCCGACTCCTGAGCTTCCACAACGTCATCGTCACCGGCCACCAGGCGTTCCTCACGCAAGAGGCGCTCCATGGTATCGCCGAGACGACACTCGGCAACCTCGTCACACTCGCGAAGGGCGAGGAGTCTCCTAACGCGGTCAAGGCATAGAGTAGAATGGTACTTGTTCATAGGTAGTAGTAGATTTTAGACACGTAGACTAGACGTCCCGGATACTGTACCCCTCCTGCCTTTGTTTCTACCCAATCGGACAACCATGAGCAGCAAAGTCAACGCGACAAATCCAGATGCACAGCAACCTTGTGCACTATGGGACGTGGACAGAGACTGGAGGTCTGATTTGAGATGATGAGTGGGGATGTTATGATTACAGTACTTGGAGACGAGTGGGGATGCTATTATTACAGTACTTGGAGGTCCGAGATGAGATGACGAGTGGGGATTTTATGCTTACAGTGCTCTATGCGGATCGAAGGGGACACAAACATATCACTGGACCCCTTCTCATGCCTTGGCGATGAACTTTGAGAAATTCTCCTCCGCCTTACGCACATCGTCTTCTAGGTCACCTTCACCCACCCATTTCCCCGCTGCTTCCAACCGCGCAGCCGTCACAGCAATAGGATCAGCACCTGGTTGTAGTTGCAAATCCTCTGTGAAAGTCGCAAGACGTCCCAGTTCGAGGGAGAGCTCCTGCACCCCTTGTGCGCGCTCACGACGCACGAAGTCGTACGCCTTGAGCGCGCTCTCCACGGTCTCCAAAGTCGTCTTTGGATGCGTAAGCATCCGACCGAGCACGTATGCATCCTGAGCAACGAACATGTGTTAAAAGAGGTATGTAGAGTGGGGAAACCCGTACTTCGATCGCTTGGTTCACCCCCGATCCATTGTACGGAGTCATAGCGTGAGCCTGGAAATCGCATATGCAAAAGAACTTCGACGGTTCAAAGTACGCACTGCATCGCCTTGAATTGCAATACGTCCGTGCGCGAAAGAGTGCAAACCCGGAACGACATGTATCGCCCAACGAGACGCCGTCTTCATGCCCTATGAAAGGGCGTCAGCCATCAACTTCGGAGATGCCATGCGAAGAGCTTCTCTCACATTTACGATCGCACGAACTTCGATCTCCCAGTCCTCAAATTCCTACGTCTTCGTCAGTCCGGGAGATGCTTCAATTCCGACATTGGGCTAACCTTCTCGAGGAACCCAGGCTCGACGTCGCTGACCCAGCGCTCGTCGGGGAAGAGTGTGCCCGCCTTCCCAGGTTGCGTGATGCAACCCACGTTGACCATCTTTCCGCCCTGGATCGGATAGAGAGCGAAAGCCTGTAGAGGTAGCATAAGCCACGTAAAGGAGCGAGAAGTAATCATTATACAGACCTTGTCTTGGCCGCAGTACTGCGTCAATGTGAGCACACTTTGAAGTGACGTACGTACGTAGCGAGAGTACTTACCAGGACAGGACCAGACTGGATTACGGGGTCCCCCTGACCGCCGAGTTGCTTGTAGGTCTCGCGCAATTGTGACATGGGAATGAGCGAGCGATAGATGCATACGCCGCTCCACACTGCGGGCCATCGAGAACGCAACATGTCGTCGCCGAGATCCTTCGCAGCGCAGTCCAACATCGCAACGCGCACAGGAGACCGAATGCCATCCGCGCCGATCAAGACATCGCAGGTTGCAGTAGTCCCGTCTTTGAAGGTCAAGGTGATCGACTGGCCGGAGACTGCACAAGTGTCCTGAGAGTGAGTTGTACTCCACCGTGTGGAACTAGTTCACGTACCTTGTGTATTGGCGGAGACGAGACGTTTATCAAACTCTACGCGAATAGTGGGCGATTGCTCGACCTTGGCAGCGAAGATGGACAGGAATTGTGCACGATGGAATGAATATCCATTGGCTGAGAGTAGTGAGCGCGAGAACACAATTGCAGACAGATGCGCGTACGGAATGGCCGACGCGCGAAGTCGCGCCCTTCAGGACCACCGTCTGAACGCCGATACCGGAAGTGCCATTCGCCTAAATGGTGTGGGTCATCGGGCTGAAGATACAGGGTACGTATCACCCACTGGAGTTCACGCCTTTGCGCGTGTCAATGGCGTCGAGGTCGTCTTGCAACCCAAGAGCACGGATCACTTGGAACGTGCGTCCCCACACTGCGACGCCTGCACCGACTTCGCCAAAACTTGCAGTAGACTCGTAGATGACGACGTCCAGTTTGCGGTCTTCATCATACTTCGCGAGGACGCTCGCGAGACATAGACCAGAAATCCCGCCACCGCTGTGCGCGACGCTGGTCAGGGAGGAGTTCGTTGGTGCGCACTGCACTTACACGATGGAAACTCTAATCGGACTCGGAGCGGCCATGAAAGATGTGGGGAAGGTGGGTCCAAAAGATTGGCGAGAGGCGTCCCTTTATATGTCGAATGTGCCGCGGCGTGAAATTCCTGCACAGCCCTGTCAGTGAACCCTATGTTGCGGCGCATCCGCTGCTCCGCAAGTGACTCGGACACTCCGCAGCGATGCATAATGCATTGCTCACAAGCGCCAGAAGCTGAGTGATTGTGCGTAATGGCATTGACAAGATATTGGTTCGAGCGCATGTCACTGTCAGCGGCGAGAAGCCATGATACCAAAGAGAAGTGTACGAACACGATGTTCCTCGAATGCCTCGGAGACCGTAGCTCCTAGCATTGGAGGCCGCATCGGCCGTCCTGCGAACGTACCCTCCTGTCGACGTGTCTAGTGCCGGTAATCGATGAGCAAGGGGAGGAGTGAAGCGTCCAGTAAACGTCCAACCAGGCCTCGGAAAGACATCGGGGAAAACCGCTTGTCCAAGTAATCGATTGAGGCTCTTGCGCGACATTAGGAGGCTTTCAATTCCGTGCAATCTTCAAAGTCGTGTGCAATGTGACTTAATCATGTGCAATGCGACTTAATCTTCAATTGCTTACACACGGAGCTCACAATGGTGCTCAATCTCTATTACCCGAAATACAGTCATTGAGAGATAAGCTCCATAATGGCTTAGGTGGAGGGAGAGGATGGGCCGTAACGCCGGCAGAGCACTGTGCACGGCGTCTGTGCTGTTCGGCGTTATAAGTTCCGAAGAGGAACTACGGCAGCGTGCGCCACGGTAGTCGTTAAAATACTTTAGGGTCGGTCATTTGAACTTAGACGAATTGACTCTCCTTTGAGAAAGAGATCTCATTGGCGGGTGTGGATCCCGGTACGGTGGGGCGGTGGAGCATGTTATAGCACCACCGCCGTTCCAGCCTTCTTTTTTCTCTCACTCTCCTCCCCCTCACCGTCTGTCGACGAGTGGTCTTCGTTATCCTCTCATTCCATGTGAGTTGTTGACCCGTTTTTCGAGCCTACCTTCCGTGTGGGTCCGTGCGGCCCCAGCAGTACTCTGAACACGGTGCGCACGCATTGGGACTACGACGCGTTTGAGAGCTGAAGGCCTCTCCGATTAGAACGCCCACAGCCTCACACTTCAACCCGTACACGTGCGTTGACGGGTGCCGAGGTG